CTTAGAAATGCTTGACAGTCAAAACCTAAATCTACTTCTTCAATAAGATGTAGGAATTCCTGGTAACCTTTCTCTTATCTCCACAAGTTAGTTATGTTACCGCCATTTAGGTGTTGTGCTCTTGTGTTGAATGATGATTTTTTCCATATTACGGAAAAACACTTGCCTTTCTGATTGTATATTTTCTTCCTTGATGATAAAGCTGTGTTGCTATTGTTCATTTCCTTTAGGCTCAGATCAAGTGCAGTTTATCTCCTTTTGGCATTGATCGGGTTCTTTCATTTGGTTTCTTGTTTACATTTTATTCTCCCTATCCAACTAAAATTCAATTAAATAGCTCTCATCTTGAATTGCATCATTAGTATGAAAGAAACTGTTAATACTTGACTATCTTGTTTCATTGGGCAGTTACGGGCCGAGTAACCACAAAGATTGATGTGTTTAGCTTTGGTGTAATCTTGATGGAGCTAATTACTGGAAGAAGAGCTCTGGATGAATCTCAGCCCGAGGAGAGCATGCATCTGGTCCCATGGTTCCGCAGAATGCATATAAATAAGGAGACATTCCGTAAGGCCATTGACCACACAATCGATCTTGATGAAGATACTCTGGCCAGTGTCAGCAAAGTTGCTGAGTTGGCTGGTCACTGCTGTGCTAGGGAACCCCATCAGAGACCAGACATGGGTCATGCTGTCAACGTGCTTTCCTCCCTGGCTGAGCTCTGGAAGCCAGCAGAAGTGGACGAGGATGAAATATATGGTATCGATTATGACATGACGCTACCTCAAGCAGTTAAGAAGTGGCAGGCTCTCGAGGGAATGAGTGGCATTGACGGCTCTTCTTCATATATTGGAAGCAGTGAAAATACACAAACAAGTATACCCACTCGGCCATCTGGATTCGCCGATTCATTTACGTCAGTGGATGGACGATAATTTGATTGTCCAACTATACTGGTGGTGTATTGCCCTTTAAAGGGTTGGTTTGTTCATTCCTTGTGCTCATCCATCTTTGCCTTCTTTTTCTCCCCGTCTCGGTTTCTTACAGGTTTTGTTAAAAGATTTTTAGTGACAATATGAAGTTGCTTTCATCTGATTCTTCTTGAACTTTTACTACCCTGCCTGTGCCTTCTCTCTAGGAGTTATCCAATGTGCAAAAATCTCTAATTTCATATTGGATATTTTATGATCTCATTTGAAAGCCTTTTCTCTGGTGTCTAGATTATAAGTCATCAAGAGATTCTAATATGGGAATATCAACACTTGGCCTTGCAAATATAGATTCTCTTGTAACCTTTATGTAATGAAATATGTCATCTTATTAATGGCTGATGATATGGATCCCACGTTTGGCTACAAAACAAAAATAAAGGTGGGGCTGCAGATATTTTTGTCATGATTTGCAGAGATTTAAGTCAACCACATCCATTAAAAATGCTGTGAAAAGAGACGTGGAGGAATTATTACTTGTTAATTAGTGTCATGTGATGTAAATATTAAACTAATGCAAAGTTCCATTTAAGATTGGGATAATTAATGGATATGATTACCCTTTTGTCCAGTTGTAATGAAACACTGAATCTCCTGTCAGATCAGCCTTGTCGAGGTAAAAGTTCCACGTGTTGCACCAAAATTGCCAAGTGCAAGACCATAGATGTAGTTGAGCAGAATAGAGAATTCAAAATTCAAGACTTCTTTTTTAAAAAAATAATTCAGGCGCAGTGTCACAGCAGAAACGGAACTCTTCTAAAAATCAAGTGCCTCAAATAATAGCCAAATATAATTTAGCTTGCTTAAGCAGAAACCAGCCTTCTCCAACTATAAAGCTGCCATGTAATGTTCCATATTGTGTGCTCATGGAGAAAAGCAAGTTTTTAACAAGTCTAGTAGTTCTTATACTTCTGTTGCCTTGTGCTAATTCAACATCTAAGAAGCACTTTGTACTAGTGCATACGGAGCCTGGACCTGGTACAAGATTGTGGCATTGATGACATCTTCAGGGCATAATGTAACAGCTCTGGACTTGGGTGCTTCAGGGATCAACCCCAAACAGGCCCTTGAAATCCCACATTTTTCTGATTACTTGAGTCCACTAATGGGCTTCACTCCCTGCTGATAAAAAAGTACTTCTTCTAGGTCATAGCTTTGGTGGACTCGGCATTTCTAGAGCCATGGAAGATGTTTCTAAGGAGATAGTTCTTTCAAGCAAAAGATATGGATCAGTTAGGCGAGTGTTCATTGTTGCTGCTAAAGATAAATTTCAAAAGAAGGAATTTCGCCTACAAATGATTGAAAAGAATCCGCCTGATGAAGTGAAAGAGATACAGGGCTCTGACCACAGGACCATCATGTCTAAGCCCCAACAACTTTACATCACTCTTCTGAGCATTGCCAACAAGTATAACAAATTTACCTAGCTAGTTAAATTTGACATTTAAATAATTTTGTTTGATTGTAATTTTAGTTTTTGGAATTGACCTCAATAAGCAACCTCTATTTCATGAAATTACTGAATTTTAGTTCAACTCTGTTAAATCTCATCGACTGGAAGAGGAAATAGACATTGATGCTGAAGAATTAGAACTATATGAATAAATATTGCAGGAAATGGTCATAGTAGTAGATGGCAAATATATGATAAGTTATTCAGAATGTAAGGAGTTCATGTGAGCCAAAACATTAAAATTATAGCCATTCTCATGACTCCCTCCCTGGACCCTTTTCTCTTAAAGCTCTTACTTTTCTCAACAATTAAATCATTTAAATTGAACGGAGACTCGTGATTAGAACAACTGTAGGACAAGGTAAGTCAAGTTCCTTTTTACTTTTTATTTATCACCATTACTGTTTATTATGCACGAAATCATAAAGTATGAAACCGATTAGTGAACTGATCTACTGGTCCAAGCATGACTACTAATAGTGACCAGACTTGCACCAGCTTCTACTACATTGCTTGCCCACTTCCTCAAATAATAGCCAACTTTAGGTTGCTTCTACGTGTAAGTGAAGAAACCAAACTCCTCCAACTAAAAAGCTGCCATGTAATGTTTCAAATTATGTGCTCATTTTTCAGAAGAAGGAAAAAAATATATGGAGAAAAGCAAGTTTCAAACAAGTCTAGTAGTTCTAATACTTTTGTTGCCTTATGCTAAATCAACCTTGTCAGGGCCTAAATCTAAGAAGCACTTTGTACTAGTGCATACTGCAGGCCACGGAGCCTGGACCTGGTACAAGAGTGTGGCATTGATGAGATCTTCTGGGCATAATGTCACAGCTTTGGACTTGGGCGCTTCAGGGATCAACCCCAAACAGGCTCTTGAAATCCCAAATTTTTCTGATTATTTGAGTCCGCTAATGGAATTTATGGCTTCACTTCCTGCTGATAAAAAAGTAGTTCTTGTAGGCCATAGCTTTGGTGGACTCGCCATTTCTAAAGCCATGGAAACCTTTCCAGAAAAGATTTCGGTTGCTGTATTCGTCACTGCTCATATGCCTGGTCCAAATATCAATGTTGCCACAATCTACACTGAGGTAGCAATGTTCCATATTTCCCATAATTAGCAATGAGATGATCTGTTATGTTTATGCAGCTAGCTTTTACATGTTTGAAACTAAAAATACTTTGTTACAGTTATTCAAGTCAATATCTCAACCTGATAATCGTATTATATACGATAATGGGCCTACAAATCCTCCAACCACCTACATCCTAGGTCCAAAGTACATGGAAACTGATGTTTACCAGCGGAGCCCAACTCAGGTAAGCAAAGCATAATTCAAATGTAGTATATAGCCAATAAGTTTCGTTATTCTGGTCATGAGAATGGCCCTAAAGTGACTCCTTTCGCCAAAAAGTTACTGATCTAGTATTCAGGTACTTAATGGCGACAATAACTTAGAGCTGCATGGTTTAATATATAATCGGGGTTTTTTCCTTGTTGGTGTTAGGATTTGGCGTTGGCCTCCACACTAGTAAGGCCAATAAACTTCTACAGTCTGGAAGATGTTTCTAAGGAGATAGTTATTACAAGCAAAAGGTATGGATCAGTTTGGCGAGCGTTCATTGTTGCGGTTGAAGATAAACTTTTGAAGAAGGAATTTCAACATTTGATGATTGAAAAGAATCCACCAGATGAAGTGAAATAGATCCAAGGCTCTGACACAATGATCATGAGGTCTAAGCCGCAACAACTTTTTACTACTCTTGTGAGCATTGCTAACAAGTATACCTAAGATCGAGCTGTTGATTAAGAAGAGTAAGTGTGAGAATAAAACTTCAGTCAGTTCACATATATGATGCATTTATATGACTATCTTAATTCTTCCATATAAGTTCTACAGAGCTAGTTAATTTGATATTACAGTTGTTATTTCCTTTCATTGTAATTTCGGTATTTGGAATTGACATCAATAAACAACCTTTATGTCCTGTAACTACTCGATTTGGTTCAAGAGCAAACAGTAATTAAAATCACATCAATGGGAAGGAGGACGTAATTATCATACCAACTGAGTAATCCAAGTAAATCTTTTAGAAGAGTACAATTTTATTTTGATTGGGAACAATGAGAAGAACACTAATGGTAAATAAAAGTTTGTTACAGGAAATACCAAATTTTGAAAGTTCATTCCAAATAAACACTAAATTTGCAAACAAACGATTAACTTAAAGCATAAAAAACTGTAACTCCATCACTAAATATATTTTTTTAACTAAGGGCCAGATTTGGTCATAAAATTTTTACAGTAATGGAAAAAATTAGGAATATCCACAATTTGAAAGATTTAAAGAATCTAGAATGGGGAGCATGAACCAGGACGGCCGGACCCCCCTATGAATATAAATAGCCAATGCCTCAGTCCTCAAATAATAGCCAACGTGGGGTTTGCTTGTGCAAGGAAGTAAGTAAGCAGAAACCAAACTCCTTGAATTATAAAGCTACCTTTGTAATATTCCATATTATGTGCTCATACTTTTAAAAGAAAGGAAAAAAAGATATGGAACATGCAAATGCTATTGTCTTAGAGCCTAAAGCTAAGAAGCATTTTGTGCTTGTTCATTCAGCATGTCATGGAGCCTGGTGCTGGTACAAGATTGTGTCATTGATGACATCTTCAGGGCATAATGTCACAGCTCTTGACTTGGGTGCTTCAGGGATCAACCCCAAACAGGCACTCGAAATCCCACATTTTTCTGATTACTTGAGTCCGCTAATGGAGTTCATGACTTCACTTCCTGCTGATGAAAAAGTAGTTGTTGTAGGCCATAGCCTTGGTGGACTCGCCATTTCTAAAGCCATGGAAACATTCCCAGAAAAGATTTCAGTTGCTGTATTTCTCAGTGGTCTAATGCCTGGTCCAAGTATCAACGCATCCAATGTCTACACTGAGGTACTCATTTTTCATATTCCCAACTTTAAATCTGTTCATTTTTATTTAAAATCTTTCATATTTGAAACTAAATATACTTTATTATAGGCACTCAATGCAATAATACCTCAACTTGATAATCGCGTTACATATGACAATGGACCTACGAATCCTCCAACCACTCTTATTCTAGGTCCCAAGTTCTTGGCTGCTAGTGTTTACCATCTGAGCTCAATTAAGGTAAGCAAATTATAATACTGTCATTGAAATTGACTTCTGTCATTATCAGAATGGCCCAAATTAATGTGACTTCTTTTGTCTAGAATAGTTTATCCAAAATTACCAATCTATTCGATTAATATTAGGCTTAAGTAATTGATAACCTCTTAAAGTTGTTCATATAATTCACTTGAACATCTTAACTAGGAGTTGTACCTATTTGAACACCTAAATTGTTTAAAACATGTATCTATTAAACACAAAACGTTGATATAAAAAAAATTGTGTTTTTCACTTACCTGAAGCACAACACGTGAAAGATTCAAAACAATTGTTTTTTTTTCTTTCATTTTTTTTATTGACACTTGCACTATAATTAACTTAAAAACATTTTTTCTTCATTCATTTACACTTTTTTCAAAAAAGAAAAAAGCTCCACACCCGTACCACTCATCTTCTTCAGAGTTTAGTTTGCAAAACTTTGTTCATTTAGCTCTAACATTGTTTTTCTTTATTTTTTTATATAAAAAAAGTATTATTTCTTCCTGAAGATAAATGAAAATCAACTATGAAGAAATCATACAATTCAGAAATCATACAATTCAGATTTGAAAGAAAAATTTTCTTTTCTATGATTTATTTCGAATCTCATAAAAATAATGAAACAAATATGAAGAAAAATAAAAAAGATGAATAATTTTTACGTATATAGATTGATATTTGTTTATCACAATTTTCGAACAAGTATTTTTACTGAAATACAAATATAAACTCATTAAATTTATCAAAAATAATATTTGAAAATTTGAATGAATTAATTTTTAAGCTATTAGTTTTTTTTTTTTGTCATCGATGTAGATTTTCTTTCTTCTTCACTCTTAGTATGAAAATATATATCTTTTTAGAAAAGTTAATCTTCAAGTTATTTGAAAAGAAATTAGGTTTTGTGATTTGACAAAAAAAATTATTTTGGGAAGAAGATGAAGTTTGAAGGGGGTTGGGAAGGGGTAGGTAACAGTACAATAGATTGACATTTTTTTAAAAAAAATAAATATATAAAATGTGTTTGAAATTATTTTAAACATATTTGGGAAAAATGTCTAATATACCCCTCAACTTTGTCATTTAGAGCTTATACATCCCTCGTTATAAAAGTGGCTCATATATGCCCTTACCGTTATACAAACGGCTCACATATACCCCTGCCGTTATAAAATGACTCACATATACCCTTCATTTAACGGAAGTTAAAAAATTAATTTTAAATTTATATTTATTACTTCTAATTTTTTTTTAAAATTATTTAGGGATATATATGATTCTTCTATCAAAGTTCAACGTATATTTTAATATTTTTCATACATAAATTATTTTTTGACTTCTTTTATTATAATTATTTGAGTTTCTTATTCTTATTTTGTTTTTTCTTTCATTCCTTAGTTTAAAGTAAAAAAATTAAACTATTTTTTTTACTGTATATTGTAATTTAATTTCGTATTCGAAGAAAAAATTTGGTTATCTACAACAAGTTTTACAAGAATATTAGTGAAACATAAATAAATTTGATTATCAAAATAATAATTATAAATTAGTCATTGAAACAAAAAAAAAGTCAAAAAAATTTGTTTGACGATGATTATATTTTTTAGAAAAAAATAATAAAAATTTAGAGTAAAATTATTTTTTTTCATTTCCGTTAGAGGAAAAGGGTATATGTGAGCCATTTGTTTACAAATAGGGGTATATATGAACCACTTTCATAACAAGGGGTATATCAGCTCTAAATGAGAAAGTTAAGGGGTATATCAGACTCTTCTCCCAACATATTTTTATAATTTTGGAGACCATTGTCACATGTTATTTTTCTATTAGCCGTTTTTGCCATGTCAGCCAAGTGTATCACACATTGTTGAAATCAAAAAATGCCTAATAGGAATAATTTTTGAATAGGTTAAAGTGTTCAATTGGTACTAATCTCAGTTAAGGTGTCTAAGTAAAATATGCAGACAACTTTCAGAGACCATCAATGACTTAAGTCATTAACATAACTTAAATCACAAGATCAACTTGCAATTATTGGAACTGATCTAAATCGGGGTTTTCCCTTAAATCTTGGCGTTAGGATTTGGCGTTGGCCACTACACTAGTAAGGCCATTTTATTTATACCGCGTGGAAGATGTTACTAAGGAGATAGTTCTTTCAAGGGAAAGGTATGGATCAGTTAGACGAGTGTTCATTGTAACTGCTGAAAATAAAAGTCTGAAAAAAGACTTCCAACAGTTGTTGATTGAAAAGAATCCACCTGATGAAGTGGAAGAGATCGATGGCTCTGACCACATGCCCATGATGTCTAAGCCCCAACAACTTTTTACCATTCTTCTGGGCATTGCCAACAAGTATACCTAATTAGAGCTGTTGATGATGAAGAATAAGGGGTCATTTGTAAGGCTGAGAACAGAGCTTCAGTCAATTAACATATATGTGATGCATTTTATATATGGCCATCTTAGTTTTTTCATGGGAATTCTAAAACCTTGCTAGTTAATTTGATATTTCAATCATTTTCTTTTGATTGTTAATTTCTTTCATTGTAATTTCAGTGTTTGGCTCCATCAATAAACAGCCTCTATTTCCTGAAATTACTGAATTTTAGTTTCAATTTGAATAAATCTCATAAATGGGAAGAGGATACACAGATGTTGATACTGAAGAATCAGAACAATATGAATGAAAAATATGATGTAGATGGACAAGAATTTATTGAGGCCATTTGGTAAGAAAAAGAAGTATGTAGTACTAGTGGACTTTGGAGCAACACACAACATTATAGATGAAAGAGAAAAAAATTAGAGCAAAAGTATTATTTAGTACTGCACAATCTATCCTTGTGCTTGAGGTTTGACATCTCTATTCAATGGCAAGTATCATGTACTAATTTTACGATACTAATTTATTTGGTGAACCACGTCGTAATGATATTAATACTGTTTTAATAGTCATTGACACCTTCATTATGATCTAGAGAACAGAGGGCCACATGCTTCAGAGTATTGCATGATCTTAAGAAGTCAATTTTAAAGCTTGGCAATTGCATATTGAGGCAAATTTGATCTTGGAGGCAGCTTTAGGTCTTCCCAATCTTCATCATCTACCTTGGAGAAGTAACGATCAACATCATCATCTCTAATTAGCTCCAGTTTGGAGGGCTCCCACTGAAAATATGAGCACAAGAATGAAAGAAGCTCTTGATATGTAAATTCAGGATTATCCATGATCAAATGAACAGAACGCACCTTAGGATTTCTATCCCTGTCGATCAATATGGCTCTGTGACCCTGCAGTAAAAGTGTCAGTCTTGTAATGCAGTAAAATGGGTGGCTGAAAGATGGCATGTTCTACCTCAAAAAGATCCTTGCTAAATTCTCCCCTGAACACATGACAAGCCATCCGATACTCACGGACAAGGCAACTACCAACACTTTGAAGCCTCCCTTCTCTTATCTGGAACAGAAAAAGGAAACAAATGACCAATCTGCAGATACACTAGAACTCTCCAAAAATGTTGTGGCCAAATCAAGGCAATAGGACCGTGCAGAAAGAGATTCAAGATGTGGTTGTGAGCAAGACTTCATCATATTTTTATTTGAAGAACTTGTGTCACCAGCAATACTAGTATAGTATCAAATTTTAAAAATTCAAAATACATAATCTTAATCCGACAGTGAAATCCAAATTATCTTTCTGAGGTAACGGTTACAAAAAAAAATGAGCCCCAAGGGTCACCATTTTAGATAAGTTAGCCAAGTCAGCTTGGTCTAAGAAAGGAACTTTTCGGTCATAATTTAAAGGTTTTTAGTTCCTCAGGGACAGCGACAAAGCCAACAGAGGTGAATATGAAAAGGTTTAGCCAGGAAAAGAGTGGACATATATTGTGGCTTACCAATGCCGTTATTATGGTACCATCTCATAAGATTGCAAAATCTGTATGGATATATGATAATATGAATAAGAAATATGATTTTGGTATTCATCTATCAACTCTTTCCATTAGGCACAAAAATTCAACAGCAGGACACATAAATACTTACAGTTCCTAGGATTATGCTGAAAATAATACCTACTATCCTTAATGGATGAATGATAGCATAAAAGAACCACATTAAAACAATACACATCACGGTTAATTATATGTATTAACCTCCCTATATCAAACCAAGCTAAGTATCTTTTTCCGTATTTCATCCTACATGACCAATTTCTGATCAACCTGAAGAAAGAATGGTACAGAAGTTTAGGTGACAAAGTAATGGTATCACAAGGTATTGATTGACTTACTGATCTCAAGGAAATTTTAAGGCTTGTAGGGGATGCTTTCTTCAGCGATTGAATAGTTGAAGAGATCCATTCATCTTTCTTGTCCAAAGCCTCACTTTCCTATAAAAAAATTCATGCATAGTTCTTACACAGTATTTTAGTAACTAATATTATTAGAACTTTACAAAGTAATTTCACCACAGCAAAAAAGAGGATCAAACGACCATCCATCTCCCAAACTTACAAGAGTAGATATGATTTCTTCAATTGTCCTTCGAGAGAAACAGTGATTAATAATCTTCATCCTACATGCATAAAATTGCAGAAAGTAAAACTGGTGCACAGTTGAGAAAGAGGTAATGAAAATCCAAAGACTAAAGATTTATTCTAATTGAACAATATTTTTCCTAGAGACATGGGAACTTTGGAATGCTATCCCTCGTCTTAAGCTTCTACTGGTGATATAAAGTAGAGGAAAGTAGTCCTAAAACAACAGGAAGATAAAATAATATGTGAGCAAAACAAAAATAAAGGGCATAGACAATGACTTTTGTGATATGCCATCAATATAATGTTCTTTAATAAGTTCAAACAATCACCTCTAGGCTCTGGGACTGTGTTTAGAAGGTAAGCTTCCAATAAATTAGCAGGAAAAAGCACATCATAATAGAGATACTAAATGAACTCACTTGTGATAAGGACTTTCTTCTTTCAAGTTTGGTGTGTGGGAGAAGCAACTTATGATAGCAGATATAGCATCTGGATCACTCGAATTGACTTGAACTAGTGCTTGTTCTAAAAGTGGCAATTTCTGTGAACAGAAGGAAGAGATAAAGGATTGAAATTAGATCAGATAAATAAATATTACGCAATCTGATGTATATCGAGAGCAATGAACCACATTTTAGATATGCCAATACAATACACAAAGGCCTTCTACACCCCCAAATGCAAATATAGCTCAAATATCTACTAGTGGCTAAAAGAAGATCTCCAAAAATCCATCTAAGAACACCATTTCAAGCATGGCTGACAAAATCCGAATTCCAACAAGCATGCTTAGCTTGGAACTGCAGGGAATATTTTTCCAAGTACTTTGACTTCATATTTATTGGTACAAAGGGCATATCAGTGTTGCCTTTTGTGATAACATACTCACCAGTTTACACATAATAGTAACAGAAACCTACTTGATTTCCTATAGAAGCAATTGTAAATGGGAAGAACAAGCTGAAAATTAAGGATGGAGAGTATACATCCGATGATACAAAGTGGGTTGCAAGACCACAAGCAAGCATTTCAGCTCCATCCAACCTAGAACCAGTAAGACCAGCATATTCCCCTGCCAAAGAGTATCAAAATTAGCTAATATTTGTATGTACAAATTCCTTGGGCATCATTGACAGCGTAGAAATGATCTTCCAAAATAATAGCAACATAATCAGAATAAATGAATTCAGGGAAAGAATCATATTTCTAAATAAAATCGGGTATAATTCATTAAAACACGTCAGTGATTTTATTAAAAACCCCAATTTTCAAATATCCTTGTAGAGAAGATTCTATGCATGTCTTCAAAGGATATTTTACATTTGTAATGATTTAAAGAAATTCAGGGATCACCATGAGAAGTTTAAAACCAAGGCTGATTTCTATAATAACTAAAACTTCAAAATTCAGCATAACTGTGAAAACTAAGGTTCAGTATCTGTAGGGAGAAAATTTTATAGACACTTCTATGTGAAAAGGATTGACCTTAGTTTGTTGATGAGGAAACAAGATCAATGAATGGCAAATGGTGAAAAGTAGATAATAATGTCCAGAAACTCAGAATATAAGGCCTATCTCTCGAACATAATTGCTGCTGCTTTTAAATGGGGCACGTACAGCAAGCTTTTGAACAACTTCTACAGGAGCAAAAGACCTATCTTCTGCTTTTAGCTCTTTAGATTAATTTTTATTGTAAAGATATCGTGGATGAAGAAGCACAATAAATGCAAAGTATCTGAGCTAACATTTGTCTTGAGATATCCTCAACTAGTGGAGCTCGAGGAACCAGGTAGTGACTTGAATTTCAAACAATGAAAAGTAGCAGAGAACTCCACAATGAAACTTGAGTGTATTACAGTACTAGCAGTAATTTTCTTTATAATTATGAACAATATAATGTGGTAGTGAAATTACCGAAGAATCCTGGAAGTCTTGATAAAAAGTAAGAGGCGCCTACATCAGGAAAGTGTCCCAAAACTGTTTCAGGCATAGCAAATACCTACAGAGAAACATACACAAATATTACATTGGACATGAAGTTTCTGGCATCCAATTACACAAAGCAACCAGTATGAATAAGCTACATATTACTTTCTAAGAAAAAATAAACCCTCAAGGCAAATCCAAGGTACAAACTAGAACTCATGAAGATTTACAGTTTGTACGGTTTTCCTCTAACTTTGCTCTAGTTATGCCAGAGCCTCTTTGTATGAAGATAAATAAAAATTAATAAATTATTGAAGGCTCTGAGACATAGTACGAAAAGTTCTGCTGGATATATCCTTCAATTCCAAACTGCAAGAATTTCAAGAGCTATTTTGCTACAGCTATTCCACATGAACATCCGTATATTGGCTTAATCCCTAAAAGAGAAGATATAAATAGACAAATCTGAAGCAAACCACAAAGAATGTGGCAAAGATCAAATACAAAAGGGTAAACAAGATAACGAGATTAATCTACTACTCGAGTAGAGGCAATACCGACTTTTCTGTTGCAACTCGAAATCTACCATGTATAGAAGCACCAGCTCCGCCTCCCATGACAATTCCATTAAGGATGGAAACCTTCAATGGGTAGTCCAAACAAGATAAAGGATAATCTCAACGAAAGTTATATCACAGAACCAAAATTAGACATCAATTTAATTTAACCTGGGTTTTGCTATACGTTGCCATCACATAGTTCAAGGTGTACTGCTTTAGGAAAAAATTAGCACCGATTTTCCAGTTACCTGATAAGCATGAGTAAATAAATATGTTTGAGAAGTCATCAAGAGTTAGTGAGACAAGGTTCAAAACTCTGTGGATAATGGGTCTGCA